GTAAATATCGACACAAAAACAACAGTAGCAGTAGCATTCGTAGTAATATGTCAGTCAGTCACACAGATATTCATTCATTCATCCAATCCAAACCAGCCACTCATTCATCATTCCGGACATTTTAGGTATCAAAGTAGTGTTGTTTGATACGAAAAAATTGTTTCGTAAATTATTTTTATTTCATTTTTATCAATCGCGTAATTAAATTATTATTCGTTATTCCTGCTGTTGTTGTTTGCCTGTGTGTAGGTGCATTTCGAGCTATTCGTTGCGGTATCGTAAATGTGAATTTTTTTGGAAACAGTGATTTTTCTAGATTTGAATTAAATGATTGTTTTCGAATGGTTTGATTGTAATATTTGAATGGTAATTGTGATGAATGGCCGTTTCCACTGTTACGTCTATTTTCCCCTCGGAGAATTCTTGTTTCGATTATATATTTTAAAGCATGATCCCTAGTATTAAAGAATATATTTTATTTAAAACTGATTTTTTTTGAGAATGAAAATGATTTGATAAATAATATTTTGTTATGAATTTTTAAATATTTCGCCCCCACCTCCTTCAACATTGATGACCATTTGCTGCCACACACACACACACATACTCTTACACTTCTCTTCTCGAACACACAACACAACAGATTACACATCGTACATCGAAACGTGCCAAAACACCAATTTTTAATACGGATAAATTTCGTGAGGTATTTATATATGAAATCATCGTACGTCTCCGCCCAGTCCCAAGTCCACCACCCCTCTACCAGAGAAAAAAACGCACTCGCCTTCCAAAAAAAAAAAAAAAAAAAAAAAAAAAAAAAAAAAACAAAGAGCAAAATAGTTGCAAAAACAGAACAACGATTAATTGCAATAAATTAGTTGAGAACAATAAAACCTTTAGCCTCAAAGGTCACGTTAAACAAATTAGTTTAGTTTAGATAATTTATCTTAAATTATTAATTCTAGAAAAGTAAATAACAAAAAAAAATTAAATTATTTTGGCGATAAACAAAATTTATTAGACAGAATTTAGATTTAAGAAAATAAACTTCGTAGTCTTGTTGGGCATACAAAGGAAGTAATTTCTTAAAATGAAACCAATAAGGAAAAGTAAAAAGTCGGGCGGGGACGACTATATGATACCCTACACCACTATGCATATTTAGTAGAGCTCCCTTAACAAAAGAATTAATTTGAAGTAGATCATACCACCCATCAACATTTGGGTTTAAAGCAGCTATAATATATGGAAGGCATATCCAATTCTGAATGGATTTTCACTAAATTTGATGGAGACATTTTTATCTTTTACACCAAATAACATTGCTATAGAGATCGTGCATTCTGGATTATATTAAACAAGTAAAACCAGAAAAGAAAGTACTAAAGTCGGACGGGGCCGACTTTTTGATACCCTACACCACTTTGCTAATTTAATAGAGCTCCACGTAACAATTAAAAGTTTTTATGGGAGAATTCAATCATACACGCTATGATTATAATTTAAAGTTCAAAGGACTAAATATTCCGAAGCATTTGTATCTTTTAAATTCGAACTTGTATTGCCCATTTGGTGCACAATTAATTTGAAATCGGATAAAAATATATATGGGAGCCAAATCGGAACCATTCTCGATCAAATTTGGCAAAGATATTTCTGAACGGTATTTAATATATTTTCCTGAATATCGTTGTTACGCAGTGCATATTACGTCTGTGAGTAACAAATACTAGAAATCGGATGAACAATATATATGGTAGCTATAGCTATATCTGAATCGATCTTCACCAAATTTGGCATATTAGCTTCTAGACTCAATTCGGTCGTATGTGCCAAATTCCATGCCATTTGGACAAATATTAGACGTTTGGTGCACAATAAAAGGTAAATCGGACGAAGTTATATATGGGAGCTATATCCAAATCTGAACCGAACTCGATAAAATTTTGCAAAGGAATTTCTGAGCTGCATTTGATATATTTGCCCAAATATTGTTGTTACAGAGTGCATATTACGGCTGCGGAGGACAAAAATAACAAATCGGATGAAACATATATATATGGCAGCTATAGCTATATCTGAACCGATTTCGATCTTATTTTCAGGCCTAATTTGCTTGTATGTGCAAAATTCCATACTATTCGGGCTGATATTACACGATTGGTTTCGGACGAAGATATATATGGGAGCTATATCTAAATTTTAACCGATTATCTCCAATTTCAATAGGGTTCGTCCTTGGGTCAAAGAAATGACTTGTGCAAAATTTCATCTGGATGGAGCAATAAATGCGAGCTGTACTTTGTTTACAAAAATACATGGACAGACGGACGGACGGACATGCATAAATCGACTCAGAATGTGATTCTATGCAGATCATCAAAAGGAACTATGGGTCTACCTCGTTTCCTTTTGCCTGTTACAAACAAATGCACAAAGACATAATACCCTGGTCACCTTGTGGTGTAGGGTATAAATATATATCGCAACTGAGTTCCGCCAAATGAAATTCACTCCTTTTGGGCTGATATTAGCCTTTATTTGAACAATAAACCTAAAATCACAATAAGGATATATATGGAAGCCATATCCAAATCTGAGCGGATCTCGATAAAATTTGGCAAAGGTTTTTTCGATCTCTGTAAGATATCTGGTACCAAATATCATTATTGTGGAGTGCATATTATGCATGTGAGGGACAGATTTGAAGTACTTCCTTATAGACTGAATTCGATCGGATGTATCAAAATGCAGGTCATTTGGACTTATATTGGACATTTAGTGCACTATTAGCCCGAAATTGGCTGAAAATATATATGTATGGGAGCTATATCGAAATCTGAACAGATCTTGATAAAATTTGGCAGAGGTATTTCTGTGCTGTATCTTATATCTGGTACCAAATATCATTGTTGTAAAGTGCATATTACGCATGTGAGGGACTTAAAACCCCAAATCGGATGGGAGCTATAGCTATATTTGAACTGACTTTCACCAAATTTGATGTACTTGCTTCTAGACTAAATTCGGTCGGATATGCCAAAATACAGGACATTCGAACTGATATTGGCCATTTGGTACACAATTAACCCGAAATCAGTTGGAGATATATAGGAGAGATTTAGCTATATTTGAACTGAGTTTCACCAAATTTGATGTACTTGCTTCTAGACTGAATTCGGTCGGATGTACCAAAATGCAGGTCATTTGGACTGATGTTGGACATTAAGTGGGAGCTATATCCAAATTTAAACCGAATCTCACCAATTTCAATAAGGTTTGTCCTTGGGCCAAACAAATATTGTTTGGAAAATTTTATCTCAATCGAATAATAAATGCGACCTGCATTTTGTTCACAAGACTACATGGACAGACGGACGGACTAACATGCATAAATCGACTCAGAAAGTGATTCCTAAATAATAAATAATAAAATCCTAAATAAATCCTAAATAAATTTTTATTTCTAGATTTATTACTTCAATAATATATTCTCTAAGCAAAGGTTTTTAATCATTGTTTGAGGTTCATAAATAATTTTTCCTCCATGATATACCACTTTAACATTATAGTGAACGTCAATTGAAACATAGCCCATGATATTATCCAAAACAATAACAATATTGACAAGTAAAACGGAAGCTAAATTCGGCCGGGCCGAATTTTTAATACCCTCCACCATTTTGAAGGAAATTGAAAATTTTCAAAAAAAAAATCCGAAAACTACCACTTAAATGAAAACTGTGGATCTGTAATGTCGCAAAAATCATGAAAATACGGAGTATCGAGAGGTACCAAAGACGTGAACCTGCACAGGAAATTTTCTGTCTTAGGTTGTAGTACCCATTAGGATCTTCCAGTAGAAATTTGAAACAATTCCGGTGAATAATATTGCTGAAATCATCAAAATACCGAATATCGGGAGGTATCGTTATATGGGGGCTATACGAAGGCGTGAACCTGCATATAAAAATTTTTGTCATACGCTGTAGTACCCATAACGAACTTCAAATACCAAATTTGAAACAATTCCGGTGAATAATGTCGCTAAAATCGTCAAAATACCGAATATCGGAAGGTACTATTGTATGGGGGCTATACGAAGGCGTGAACCTGCACAGACAATTTTCTGTCTTAGGATGTAGTATCTATAGCGAACTTCAAATACCAAATTTGAAACTATTCCGGTGAATAATGTTGCTGAAATCGTCAAAACACCGACTATCGGGAGGTACCGTTATATGGGGGCTATACGAAGACTTGGACCCGCATACAAAAATTTTTGTCATAGGCTGTAGTACCCATTACGAATTTCAAATACGAAATTTTAAATAATTCCGACTAATAATACCGTATATCGGGAGGTACCGTTATATGGAAGCTATACGAAAACGTGGACCGACATGGCCCATTTACGAACTTAACCTGCCTACTGGTAAATTATGCTTGTATGCAAAATTTTAGCCTTCTATCTTAATTCGTTCGAAAGCGTGATTACAGCGGACCGACAGACAGACGGAATTGTAAGACGGAGCACTAGATCGTCTTGGAATTTTACGCTGATCCAGAATATATATACTTTGTTGGGTCTATTATGAACATTTCGAGGAGTTACAAACGGAAAGACATAGTTAATATACCCTCCATATAATGGTGGAGTGTATAAACATGGTATCCAAAAATAGTAATTAAATTATTGCATGCACCTACCTACCTACCTACTTATAAATATTTGTTAATATTAACTTACAATTTTACTATAGTTTGCTAATATTTTTCTATTTAACTTTTAGTTTGAGTAACTTATTTAATACTTTTTTCTACATTTTCTACTATATTTACCTATATTTATTATTAAATAAAATATTTAAAATAAAATAAATTATGCTAGAACACAGTTGAATACACATAATATATAGAGCTATACAAATAAAACTATTGCAAAAAATTAATTAAAAAAAAATAATTTTATTTATTTTATCTAAAACTACCAAAAGGTTGAGGTGATGCCCTGGATAAGCAGCAAACATAACATGGGATTTGCTTTCAATCGCACCACCTGGACCAGCATACGAAAATGTGGCAAACATTTTTGTTCGTACGACGATTACAACTGGGACTGGTCACTGCAGCATGTGTCCCAGCAGTGCTTGCAAAGGAAACTGCATGCCATGATTGTCAAAGGTCCAAGGGTGTTTCACATCGGGGAATGGTAAGACCTAAACAATAAATAGAAATTATATTTTATAATAATATTTTAAATCCATTTTTTCCAGTGGCGTCCATCACAAAAAGAAAAACTGCGAATCAAATCAGGTAATTTCCAAGGTGCAACAGGTTTTGCGCATTGCCCGTAAATCGGGACAAATTTTCCCCAAATCTCTAACGCTGACAGTGGCAAGTCTGATTAAAAAAACCAAATTACGCAAAGGCAATGGCGGTTGGGGTGATCGCCGGGATCATGATCTATGCATGAATATGACTTTACCAATTAGATGAATTTAACAAAAAACAAAAAAAAAAAACAAATCAGAAAACTAAAATAAATTAATTTCAATTCTTTTTTCTACAAAACAAAATATTCAAATATTTCTCAACTCTTAAGTGATAATACTCTAATTTGTTTTAGAAAAAAAAACTGATAATTCTAAAACCAATTAAGAAAATGTAGAATATTACAAAAATTTGAAATTTTTTTAGGCGCAAATAGGGAGATTTAAAGCTAAAGAGAGTTTTGGATAGTATCGTCTCTGTAGACGTCCTTTATGGTTGTCTCTATAGACGTCCTTTATGGTTGTCTCTATAGACGTCCTTTAAGGTCGTCTCTATAGACGTCTTTTATGCTCGTCTCTATAGACGTCCTTTATGCTCGTCTCTATAGACGTCCTTTATGCTCGTCTCTATAGACGTCCTCAATCTCGTTTCTATAGACGTCCTCAATCTCATTTCTATAGACGTCCTTTATGGTCGTCTCTATAGACGTCCTTTATGGTCGTCTCTATAGACGTCCTTTAAGGTCGTCTCTATAGACGTCCTTTATGGTCGTTTCTATAGACGTCCTTTATGGTCGTCTCTATAGACGTCCTTCAAGATCGTCTCTATAGACGTCCTTCAAGATCGTCTCTATAGACGTCCTTCAAGATTGTCTCTATAGACGTCCTTTAAAGTCGTCTCTATAGACGTCCTTTAAGGTCGTCTCTATAGACGTCCTTTATGGTCGTCTCTATAGACGTCCTTTATGGTCGTTTCTATAGACGTCCTTTATGGTCGTCCTCGATGTCGTCTCTATACACGTCTAGAGAAACGACCTTAAGGACGTCTAGAGAAACGACCTTAAGGACGTCTAGAGAAAGGACCTTAAGGACGTCTAGAGAAAGGACCTTAAGGACGTCTAGAGAAACGACCTTAAGGATGTCTACAGAGACTAGTAGTCCCTAAGGCGATATAGAGGATATTCTACATAGCTACCAAAACCCCTATTAGCTTTAAACTTTTCCATTTGCATACATCTCCTCGAATTTTTCTCAATAAACACAAATAGTGGTAGTTCGAAAAAGGTCGTATAACATTTCGCATCTCAACTCACAAATGAACAATCTTCGGTTGCATCGAGATTGATGCCCCACGAAGGTCTTCCTTGAAGGAATTCGATTTGAGTCAGAATTTTAGAATTCTCGAAGACTGCGAGATCAGAGCCACAGGAATAGAAGTCTCAATGCCACCTTCTCTTAATGTAGGTAAAAGTGGCTTGTCATGCCGTTTCCAACACCTTGCCATATTGGTCAAAGACCCCGTGGAGTGCCTATATTAGCGATCAGCGAAAACTTCTATGTCGATTTAACACCGTGAAAGTGTTTACAATTTTCAAGTAAAATAAATTAATCAAATGTGGCAAATATGTTTGTACGAAACTCCAAAATGTTGGCTAGTGAGTGAAACTCCCTCGAATTCGAGCTGGAGTGTACTTGAGAGTTAGAAAAGAACTCAAACTCTGCTTGTCTATGCTACTCGAATAAAGAGTGACTGTGTTTTGCTCGTTATAGAATAGGAGTAAAATTCGCAGATTTTGTTCTTAGGGAAATCTACTATAGTTTTCGTCGTACCAGTGTTTTATTTGTAAGTAAGGGTATATCCTCAACCCACAGCTGCAAACGAAACAAATAAAAATACATTAAAGAGTAGTTTCGCCAATCTCTGGTTTTTTTGTTTGGCAGGTTTTTTTCTCAAAACGTGATTGAAACTAAGCACTGATGCATAGGCGGAAAAAGGTTTTCGCTACGGTTTTCTTTTTTTTTTTCAATGGCAACACAACACCAACTTAATGGTCTAAAATTTACAGTGAAAAGCAAAGCCAGAGACACTATCACACACTGACTGCTATGAGACGAGTTTCGCCTATGGTTCGTCAGGTACATTTGGTGAGGATAATGGCTTATAAGAGCCGTTCTTTAAAAATTAGTATTTATTTCAAAGTTATTACAACCAAGAATATGCGAATTAAACACCACTCGAATTTTCCAACTCGATTATACTCTTAGAGTAAATTAATATTCTAATTGGAGCATCCATACTCTCACCCTTATTTTTTCAAAGAGAAGTAACTCTTTGACGCTCCTTCGTAAAACAAAACTTTCTGTAAATCTTGAACTCCCGCTCACGAGTGAAAAGGAGGAAATTTTCTCTCTAAGCTGTTTGGTATTTTGAATGGTCTATATCGATCAACATTTACGTATACCCTCCACATAACTGTAAACACTTTTGTTAGGTATTTTGAAGAATAAGTAGTGGAAAGCTTAGCTTACGATTATGTTACAATTTATTTGGGCTGATATAAGCCATTATTTGCACAATAAACCTGAAATCGGATTAAGGATATTTAGGAGTTATATCTAGGCCGATCTCGATAAAATTTAGCAAAGGTATTTCCGAGCTCTATAAGATACCTGGTATCAAATATAATTTTTGTCGAATGGATATGACGAATGTGAGGGACTTAAAACCCCAAATCGGCTGAAACATATATATGGGAGTTATAGCTATATCTGAACCGATGTGGTTTAAATCCTCCACTTTTTGGTATATGACGAACTACCCTCATTTTTGGAACATATGAGAGAGTTTAAGGACAGTCGATTAGGCTATAAAACAAGTTTTCCCATTGTCAAATTTTCAAAAACTTATAAAAAGTTCGATCCAGTCGACCTTAAAGCCGTTTTTAATTATTCTTCTTTGTTAGAGGGCAGCTCCCTATCCTCTGGTCTATTTTTCAGTTCTGCTCTGACCTTCCGTAAACACTTTAAGTGCACCAAAAATATTAGGAAAATGCCAACTTTTAAGGAAATTTTAGTTGATCTTCTTTCGAATTTCTTTACGTACTCCAGCTCCAACTCACAAGGGGATATTCTAACCTTTTTTCCGTTGCGGACAAAAAACGTAAAGTGTCCACATAAAAATTGAAATTCAATTGACAATATTTTTGGTATTCGTTGGCCTAAGCGACTACTTTATTTTCGTTATTAAACGAAAAATTGTTAATTATCGAAATTAAAAGCAATTGAACTATTGATCTTATCATTAATTCCGACTTTTATTCCTTCTCGATGTCGACCTTAACACTTTTAGATATTCGTTTCAACACCAAAGTCGACTTTTCATTTTTTTTTTCTAACCAAAGACCGATTTTGATGTTAGATCTTTTTGAAGTGAAGTACTGCCAAACAGATGGTAAATTTTCACCATAGGCAGGCTAAAGTCGACTTCAAGATTTTTTCAACACAAAAATATCAATCGAGTTCAAAATAAATCCTATTCCCGATCTATCACTTTTGTCTATTCGATTTTCGATTATGATATTTCGAGCCAAAGTCGATTTTAGATTTTTTTTTTTTTTTGAATCATTCTGGTTAATGGACAACCCTACTGAATTCGGTACATCTTTTAGTTTTTATTTACGGGGGGAGATCTCGCTCTTTTCTAATACTTCTCTTGGAAGCTATATTCCCATATTTTGCGGGGCAATGTTTTTAGGTAACCTTTTCGAACACCAAATCTAGACAAAGAAAATAAAAAATGCACAATATTTTCAAAAAATTATTTATTTTTTGTAAAAATACCAATTCTAGAATAAAATAATAAAAAATACTCCTGCTCCTATTCCTTAATAACTTATAATATAAATACACTTATACTGAACTCTTTATATTTAACACAACCTAAAGACAAATGAAAGAAATTCACCACAACATATATTTATTAAAAATAATTGATAATAGTAGAAAATTCTAAAAGGATTACAAAAAAATACAACCAATAAATAATAATCCAAAAATTAAAAGTGGAAAAAAATACCAAAAACTTTGCAACAACTGATTTAGATGTTAAGTATTTTTTATTGATAATTCTCTATTTTTTAAAACATTACAAAAAAAACACATGACGCCAATAAACATAATTTTTTGTAGGTAATTTTTAATATAATTGTTTAAATTAGAGAAAACTAAAATGAATTAATAGTAATTATAATAATAAATAAAATACAAATAGTTTAGCGAAAAGTGCTTTCACTTATGTGGGTACTTTGAAAAAATAAAGTCAGCTTAGTGGTAGGATTTTTTATTTTAAATTTCTTGTTAAATAAAATTGTTTAATTTCCAAAAAAGAAACAAAAAGAAATTCTTATGGAAATATTTGAATAATATTTTTCACAATTTTGATATTCACATTTTCTTTTCTTGTTTTATAATTTAATAATCCATAATATCTGTCCTTCCTTTTTACATCACATTTATAACATAATTAATAAATTTATTAATTATGCTATACATTTTCCCATAACACCAAGAACTCCCTCCCCACAAAAAAAATATGCATGTTCAATAAATATGTAGTAATAATTGTCATAAATAAATGCAAATTTCTACATTGTTTATTAAAAAAAAAATAAAATTATATAAAAATTGTTTATACAGTTGTAATATATTTAATAATTCAAATAAGAAATGTTTATGTTTTCCTTTTTTTTTTTGTTAAAATACAGATTAACTTTAATTGTTAAACTATTTTCACATTTTTTCTATTACAATCCAATGAATAGTGTATAAAAGAAAACCAAATCTCAAGTACTGCTTTTAAAATACTAAATTAAAAAATAGTCATTAAATATTTATAAAAATTATCAAATAATAAAAAAATAAATAAATAAAAAGACCGAAGATCCAAATAAATACATGAATAATTTATAATTGAAACAAAAAAAATTAATTTTTATTTGGAATTGAGGGTTTCATTTAAAAGTGACAACAAGTAGTTCGGCCCAGCCGATACCCTCCACCATTTGGAACGAATTTGGCAATTCTCAAAAAACAATAAAATCCTTTAAAAATTCTGTGAAAAATGCCGAATGTAGCTGTTACATTAGGGTCTATACGACAACATGGACCTGCATAAGTAACTTTTGTCGTGAGTTATTACAATACTCAAATGCGAAACCGTTATATAGGGACTATACGAAGACGTGGACCTGCACAGACAATTTTCTGTCTTAGGCTGTAGTATCCATTACGAACTTCAAATACCAAATTTGAAACAATTCCGGTAAATAATGTCACTAAAATCATCAAAATACCGAAAATAGGGAGGTACCGGATTATACGAAGACGTGGACCTGCACAGACAATTTTCTGTCATAGGCTGTTGTATTCCTTTAAAGAACGACGATTTAAAACAGCCTAAAAATGCGAAAAACTCAATATTTAAGAAGTTACGAGCAAAATAAGAAAATTAAAGAAATTAAATGCACACTTAAAAAAACGACGATTTAAAACACCCTAAAATGCGAAAAACTCAATATTTAAGGAGTTATGAGCAAAATAACGAAATTATATGCTCACACTAAAAAGCGACAATTTAAAACGCCCTAAAACTGCGAAAATATTGAGTTTTTATGTTTATGAGCAAAATAAGAGAATTAAATACTCACATTAAAAAACGACAACTTAAAACACCTTAAATTTAAATATTTAAGGAGTTATAAGCAAAATAAGAAAATGAAACGTTCACACTAAAAAACGACGAGTTATGAGGAAAATAAGAAAATTAAATGCTCACACTAAAAAATGCCGATTTAAAACACCCTAATAATACCAAAAGTCAATGAAACGACAAATATTACTATTGTTAGGAGTTACACGCAAAATGACTACTTAAATATAGACATCATTGTAGAAGCAATTATTGAGGAAAAGATGTGGACCGATTTTGCAGTTATATAACTATAGAGGTAAAAGATTTTTTGGTAATTCAGGGTGTAAGTTTCAATTTCATTTATTAAACTTTGTTCACTTACCTCTTTGGGCCACTTAATATTACTAACGCCAGTAAACCAGTAAGAAAATCACTAATTGGGACTTTGAAAACGATTTTAAATCCTTTTTACAAATTAATTAAAACCACACACAACACCCGTAATTACATTAAATTAACCGAAAACAGAAAAAATTTTAGTTAATTTTAATTTTTTAAGTCAATTTTTAATAATTTTAATTTTTTAATAATTTTAATTAAATTCTTCCTTCCACTCTTTGCAAATTATACACACACACTTTTCTCAAATCACACTTTCATTATGACACCAGTAGAGATCACTTTGTAACGGCTCTCTCGTTTTCTCTCACAAACACGGCACCATGCAAACGAAGAAAACAGTGCATTTAAAGAATAACAAATGATAAACACTTTAATAAAATCACTTTCTAGTGGTAGATTGTTTAGTTTAGTATAATTCAGCTTTTTTTTCTTTAATTTATAACATAAACTCCGTTAATATTAACAAATTGCCAAAAAAACAAACACAATTCACGACCGACCTCCTTTTTATATGACCGACAACTGAAGGAAGCAACAAATAGAAGTAACAATGTTGCCAATGCATTTGATGGTAAGACGCGCTAAAACTGACATATTGATTGTCAATTCTCTGAGAACAATTCGTAACGGCTCTCTTCTCATCTCTCTCAAACAATCCAACAAAGAAAACAGGGCATTTAAATAACAAATTACTATTCACTATTTTGTTTTACAATGTTTTATTTATTTTGATTCACCTTTTTATTTAATTTGTAATCGTTGATATTAATAATTTGCGATAAACAAATACAATTTACCACCAACAGTCTTTTATGTGATTAACAACTGTTAGAACGCACCAAAGTTGCGGCATTTCTCTGACATTAGAGATTACTTTATAACGGCTCTCTTCCCATCTCTTAATAACATAACGAAGAAGAAAACAATGCATTTAGCGAAAAGCAAACGATTAACACTTTCATGCAGTCACTTTTTAATTGTAAATTGTTTAATTTAGTATAATGCAGCGTTTTATTTAATTTATAACAAAAAAAGTCGTTTAATATCAACAATTTGCGATAAACAAACAATTCACAACCAACCGCTTTTTTATATGACCGACAACTGAAGGAAGCAACAAATAGGAGTAACAATGTTGTCAATGCATTTCAATGGTAAAACACGACGAAATTGGCTGATATATTTCCGCCGTTAAAGGAAGTTTAATTTGCCAATTCTGCGACTTCTTAGTGTATCATATACTATCAAAATTACTGAACAAAAATGAAATGAAAATTTAGCATGCAGTAAATCGAGTTAAGTTTGATGTGCAGATACATATATGCGATTTACACTTTTCTCGGTTAATATGTAACAAGTGCAAAAATTAGTCATTTGAAGTATTTCTTTATGTATGCAATTTTTTCATTCATAAATATCTTGAATATCATTAAGTAATTTATTTTCAAATTAAATACATTTTATATTCGACACGTAAAACTGTTTCCTTTTCTAACTTTAAAATATTTTCAAAATTTAATGTTTTCTGTTGGAGGGAAATAAAAAATTACTTTAATTATTGCTGAATGGAAAGCTAATTGTGGCAATGTTACGTTACGTTCACACTAATTACATACGTTGACATTACGTATCATGTATGCAGTACATTACGTACCATACGTCACTGTACGCAGTTGATTATATACCGCACAGTTATGACGCTGTACGATTTAATGCGAATACAAGTGATTACGAACCAATCAATATAAATAAATTAGACATGTTAACAAATAGCTAATTAGTAATACAATTATATTAACCATAACAATTTTATTATTAATCGTTTAATCAAAGGGCATTCCCTCCGCAACATTATTCTTGCCGTTTATCGCCATACGCTGTCATTGGGGCCACCCGCATTATTCTCATCGTTTTCACGGATATAACACAAAACGCCGGCGAAACGACAATCGGCACAGTCTATATTTGTCCGTCTCGTAGGGTGGTGGTGCTTGTATTGCGAAAAAATAAATAAACAAATTCCCATATAGTGTGGTGTTGTGCTAAAAAAATCGGTTAGTAGTATTAGTAGCAAAAGCAACAACAATTAAACAGAAGAAAAAAACAGGCAAATTTTATTGCTTTCTATGATCAATTTGAAAAATTTCCATTTTGAATTTAATAAAAAAGATAAACGAATTTTAACCTTATAATCAAATCACTGATCACAAATCCATCCAAAATAAATTTTTAGCTGGTACAGGAGGAATTGTAACAAGAACTAAAACATGGCTTCAATGTTGACCAAAAACTTGAGACGTGTTGTAGGTGCTGGAAAGCAGCCAAAATTAATGTTGGCTGCCCTTAATAACACTTTCTACACCTATGCCAATGAAATCTCGCATCCATTAAATCGTGTCCCACCAAATGGCACACCCGAGGAGGCTGTAAAATTAATTAAATCCGGTAAGTTGTAATGTTGATGGAGTACGTGAAGATATCATTTAATATTTTTGACAATTCATTTAATATGGATGGATGTCAGTGGCTGTGTTGCATAAGTGAGCCATCGTCGAGAGAAAGGCAGAGAGACAAATTTTAATAAAATCTAATTTCTCCAAATAGAAAAAATATTGTGGAAGAGAATGAGAAAGGTCATCATGGAATTGTAGCAAACATTAAGTCAGCGCCAATAATTCGCCTGTTCATGTGCGATTATGTAACTCGTGCTTAGACTTAGAACGTTTTGTTAAGTTCACGAGCTTTTTTAAGATTTAAATATTTCCAGTAAAAGTAATATTTACAGACGGTGTGAGAATAAGAAAATGTAATGTCATTACATATTTTCTCCCTCTCTGTCCCTCAATTTGTAAGAGATAAGAACTTTACGGACCGCCAACAGTAATTGTTATTTTAACAGATGTCACATATGTACTCCTTAGCCGCAACCCCTTACGTCATATGAAGACTTAACAATAAATCAACATCTGATAATATCGATCCCATTTAATCAATTTGGAAATCAATCAAAGAGCAATTTTTGCAATTGGTTATGAGGGAGAAATGTACACATTGTGACTGCCTTCAACGCAATATTAATACAATAATGTAAATACAATAACAAGTCCCAACAACCACATCCATAGGCAATTGAGTGACACAAGCAGTGGCCATCAACATCATCTACAACAGAGGGAAATGAATGCAAATAAATAAATTAGTTATCTCTTCGTTCCCGCCCTCCCCACCTAATAAGTAGTGATTTGAATGAACAACAAGCAATTTACTTGCCACAGAAATTGATAATGGGTATTATTAAGTTAGTGTGGACTTTTAGGTGCCCTAAATGAATGAGGCAGGAGGGAATTAAAGGAAAAAAATAATAAGGGCACATCACGGATCGAGCATGGTAGTCCTTGTTATGGTGGTAACGATATAGTCCCAGAGATATGAGATTTGAATGGAGGGTGTATTAAGTAAGTCCAACTACTGGACATATCCATTTTATATCCCATGAAGCATATTTTATATTCAGAAAATTTTATGACGATTTCGGTCGATCTGGCTGTATATTCGTCTGTAAAAATCTCTCTAGCTACCGAACCCTTAAAATTGTTGTAAATTATCTGCTAACCTGGTTCTAATCAATGTTCAAGAGCTCAGTTACCTTCAAAGATCGCCAGGAGTGAGTCGGTAGGTTTGGCTGGACAATTGATGAGTCGTGCGACCCTGAATCGCACGCCGACTCTTCATTGAGTCGGGTCTAATACCAATTGAGACAACTGCACCATGCTGATAGTAGTTGGGCCCGAACTAATTTTGTTATATTTTCTGCTAACCTGGTTTTAACTCAAATTTCAAGAATTCAGCAGCCTTAAAAGGCTCTTACCAAATATCGTCAGCAGTGAGTCGGGTAGGTTTGGCTGAACAATTGTGTATTGTGCGATTCATTCGTGCCTAATACCAATTGAGACAACTGCACCATCCTGATCGTAGTTGTGCCCAAAGTATCTTGTTTGCTTTAGATAGACGACCTTCTTCATCTGCAAAGGATGGGGATGAACTCTGAGGTAGAGGCTGTTTCATAAAGGCTAGGACTTTCCATTTCCTGACGCCTGGGTGAGAGAGTTTTATGCACCATATTATGGTTTAGATGACTTCTACTATAACCCCTATAACCCCATCAACGGAAGCATTTGATTTGTGCTAATGTACGCGGAGAGACTTCTCCTCCCCATGTAGATGGTCCTTGTGTGTTATGGGGAGGCATCCTGTAGCAATTCGCAGTGCAGTGTGTCCTATTTTCACTTTGGTATTTTTTTGTGCCAACCTTGCTTTTCAAATACACCAGACACAACTGTTATGGCGGCCCACACCATCACCATGGCCGGCGCTTGATTTCTGGTGGCCAACCGAAAGTGCACATTTTCAGCTGACCTCTTTGGCAAGTAAACACGATCATTTTGCTTGTTTACAAACTGCTGGACAACGAATGTTTTCTCATCGGAGAAAACTTTTTTAGCTCTTTCGAGCCTATTTTCTTTCTGTTGTGGTGTAAGTTCTTACACTTTTTGGAATTTCGTCATGGCGTCACCCCCAAGCTCATTTTTCAATATTTGCCGAATGGAATATTACGATATTTCAGCTCACGAGCCATTTTTCGGCCATTGCGACGCGGGTTTCTATCAAGTCGCTTCTTTACTTTTCGAACCATTTCTGCTGATGTTGCTGTTTTCTTACGTCCACTTCCTTGATGTTGGGCTACGCTACCAGTATCACAGTAACGAGCGATGGTACGAGACACAAAAGATTTATTCACATTTAAATGCTGGAGTGCTCTAACGATAGCCACTTGTGGTTTTCCAGTCAAATATAGAGAAATCACACTATCACGCTTGAATTCCATCACGAATAGCTTTTTTTCTGGAAAATTCTCACCAAAATGCTTTTGTACGCTTGTAAAAAATATAATGAGCTGTCACTGGAATAATTTTAACAACTGTCGGACGAGTGGCTTAGAAATTACAGCAGTCTGAAGTTCCCTTCCGTATAGTTCCACGCCTTTGTATATCCCTAATTTTTTAACGGAATGGTTTAAAAGTTAATATGTAGAGTTAATAGAAAGTTACATGTCGACGTTTCCACAAATTGTATTTAATTTTTTAATATTTTTATTTAAGAATAAATTATTCCCAGATTACATAATTTTTTTTATGAAAATTAAATCACGCCATATCTTATCTCTTAAAATTTCTTCATGTTTTCAAAAACATAGTCAATATTCTAAACATTTCCCAAAAAAATCGCCTAACATCAGAATTCTGATGTTTCAAATCGCCTGATCAATATTTTTATAGAGCAACAATTTCTAATAAAATAAACAAGTTGGCTCGAAATCGATATGCTAATTTCAATATCAACAAAACAAGTGGCAATAAGTGTGCATGCAGGCATATTGAAGTGGTTTTCAGACTACTTTTGCTTTATTACATGTATAGATAAAAGCATACAAATATGCAAAAACAGAACACAAAGGCAAACAGCTGCCGGTTGACGCCATTTTACCCCCATTGGCGTTCGTGCCTATTTACTTATTAATCAACAAATTAACTGATATGTGCTCTGCCCACTTCTGTCACAACAAAAATCTCGACATTTTTTCTGCTACGTATCCCTTTTATTGTTGATGTTGTTGTATATTTTGTTTGTTTGTGGAGATAGTATAGAATTTCGAATAGATATTATTATGGATCACAAGAGGATTTAAGACTAACAAGTCAGAAAGCTATAAGTTCGGCCGGGTCGATCTTTGAATACCCTCTACAGAAAAAAAAAAAAAAAATAAATAAAATTCTGTTAAAATCTTAAAAATACCAAATGTAGCCGTCATATTAGGGTATATACGAAGACGTGGACCTGTCATAAACCATTACAATATTTAAATGCGAAACTTGAATAAAGAATTTGTTGAATAATGTAGCTAAAATCATCAACATTCGAAATATATGGCGGTACCGTTGTATTGGGGCTATACGAAGACGTGGACCTGCAATTTTCTGTCATAGGCTGTAGTATCCATTACTAACTTAAAACGCCAAATTTGAAACAATTCCGTTGAATAATGTCGCTAAAATCATCAAAGCACCGAATGTTGTGAGGTACCGTTGTATGCTGTAGTATGTTGTAGGCTGTAGCATCCGTTAAGAACTTCAAATACCAAATTTAAAACAATTTCGGTGAATAATGGCGCAAAAATCATCAAAATACCGAATATCAGGAGGTACTGTTATATGGGGGCTATATGAAGACGTGGACCTGCACAGACAATTTTCTGTCATAGGCTGTTGTACCCATTACGAACTTCAAATGCCAAATTTGAAACATTTCCGGTAAATAATGTCGCTTAAATCACCAAAATACCGAAAAAAAGAAGGTACCATTATATTGGGGCTATACCAAAACGAGGACCTGCACAGACACTTTTCTGTCGTAGAATGTAGTTACCATTACGAACTTCAAATACCAAATTTGAAACATTTCCGTTGAATAATGTCGCTTAAATCACCAAAATACCGAAATAGGAGGTACCATTATATGGAGGGTATACCAAAACGTGTGCCTACATCACACCAATACCAAAACTCCTGCAGACATAATATACATTTGAGTAAAATTTTATCAACCTACTTCATTTCGTTCGGAAGCTAGAGTGATTTCCACACGGACAGACGGACGGACGTCGCTAAATCGACATAGAATTTTATGCTGATCAAGAATATTTATACTTTGTGGGGTCTAAAATGTATATTTCGAGGTGTTACAAACGGAATGACAAAATTAATATAGTATGGAGTATGGTGGGGGGTAAAAGAAGGGAGCCAATATGTTTTGGTATGTTTCTCTTGAATCAAATATGCAATTAATTTGAAAAGTCTATGGGATAGAATTTTGAAACCCAATTTTTGGATTTTTCAAACTTTTGTTTGTCATTTTTTTCTATAAATGTGTTTTTTATATTAACACGGTCCTGTCATGAACTGTTATCTAGATAGTATAGGCACAAACCATTTGCTCAGAATGCATTTTGTCTAGTCTTTACCAGTTTAGGTCTTTGCTTGAATTCTAATTCCGACGTCTAAACTAAATAATAAAGGAAATTTCTAATATTGTATTATGGAGCCTTTTAAATACTATTTTATGGGCCTCTAAAAACGAGAAATTCAAAAGCTCGTAAGAAATTGCGACTCCTCTTTCTAATTTCAATCGAAAATAAAAAACGTTAAAAAATTAATTTATTTCTTAGAAAGTTTTTGGTTCTTATGCCCGAATATGCCTTCATTTACCACAAGGGTATACCCCCAGACCCACCCAATTCCTTATCTTTTTATTTAAGAAATTATTAAATAAAATAAGAAAATTTCGCGTTCTTTGTTACCCAAAAATAATATTCGCTTATCAATATGATA